TTATTAAGCTTGGTTTTAAAAAAATATTTTATTTTGATTTCGCGGCTTTGTCCACTCCACGTGAAAGAAACGTATGCATATATTTATATATATATATATATATACTAAATGGGGTGAAGTACTAGTAGAAATAAATTTATTTTTAAAATTTGATTTAAATAAAAATATATACAATAGAATATAAAATACAATATTATATTTATATAATTTTTTCATTTTTCGCAATATCATAAACACGAATCGAATGCATCTCATCTTGCTTGTGGATATAGACTTGAATTGATCATACATACAACAATCCAGCCTAAAAAATATTTAAAATATAACATTATTATTAAATATATTTAGAAAAATATAATTATTTATTAAAAAATAAATTATTACTATGCCTAACAAATTATTGCCATATATCGTCATGAAGGCCCATTATATTCATATCCCAAGATGATAGCGATATGCATTGTTTTAGGGTGGAAGGAGCCATCCTGTTCCTCAATTTAGTAATAGTATTTCCAGCAAGAGAAAAAGTTCTTTCCGATGCCACGGAAGTTGTTTGTTGGCATAGAAAGTCTCGCGCCATCTTAGCTAAATGAGGAAATCGATTTTCATTCCCTCTCCACCAATCTAGCACGTTAGTTGTCTCGGGCGCTACCGGCTCAAGAAGATAGATGTTTATTTGATTGTCACTATCGCCATTTGATGATACTTTTCTAAAGAGATAAATTTAAAATAAATAAAAATCATAAAATATATCATTTAAATTAATTCTATCAAAATGTATTATATTACAAATATACCTTCTTTTCAATCCCTGCATTATTGAATGAGTACTCATCAAATGGCTCCGTCGTATATTTTGAATAAATACCTTTAAATTTAGCCATATTTTTAATTGCTGCATCTTCCTTTAAATTAGTGATTAATGTATTTTTAATCCTAGGGTCCAGTATTGATGCAGCATAGTTGTTTGGTGTTAATATATGCTGCTATATTCGTCGTATTTTTTTATCATAGATGTTGCTGCTTCTCGTATTGAAGCATCAGAATTACCTATTTCTTGATTTTTTAAATTCTCCAGAATATCGTTGAAAAACAATATCGCCATCCCTATTGTTGGAAGCTGCGAGCTTATTTCAACCGTTATTTGATAAAAAGGCTTTAGAAATTCTTCTAAATTTGAGAAGAATTCTATATTCTCAGGAGCCAAATCGATTTCAATTAATCCAAGCTCACTGAGATGATGTATTGCCTTGATATTCTATAAATAGATATAAAAAGAAATAATTTTATAAATATACAAAAATATTTTTATTTTATACTTTATTAATGGCTGCTATCATAAGATATACGCTATTCCATCTTGTTTTTACTGAAAGAGGTATTTTTGTAGCCCCATTAAAGTATTGATATGTTTGCAATAACTTAGGCGACACATGTAACCTGGAAACGAAAGCCATTATATTTTTCAATTTATCGTCCAAAAATATGAAGCCCTCATTAACGATTAGGTTAAGGATATGTGCCATACAACGATGACTATATAAAACAGTCTCATAATTTAAATGATAATACTTTTTAATAATTATTTCTACGGCTTTTACCACGTTAGCGCCATTATCATGCGTTATAGATATTATATTATTTTTAAATTCGAAATCATTCATGGAGGTTATCAAAAGCGATGATATATCATCCCCCGTGTGTGGGTGGGGGAACGATAATAAATCTAGGGCAATGTTTATAATATTCCAGTCATCGTTGATGTAGTGAAGTGTTAATGAACAGTAAGCTGAACCATTATGGGAAGTCCATATATCACTAGTTAAGGCAAATTTATTTTTAACATTATTAAATTTTTTTATTAGTTGAATTTTGGCAATATTATAAATTTTGTCTAAATTTTTGGATACGGTCTGCCTACACCAAACTTTCAGATTACTATTTGCATAATAGATCATCTTTTTAAAAGATTAAATATCCACTAAACTTAGTGGACTATTTGTTTTTATTAAAAAGTTTAATATAAGTTTATTCATATTTAAATTCTCATGTATTAGAGGCTTTCTAATCCCGGGCATCGTATCTTTTGTTGTTATTTGTGATAACTCAGTGAATATAGTTGAGTGCACGGACTTTAGATGTTTCTTAAGATTAGCTTGACAAAAAATAAAAATATTATTATGTAAATATTTTATTTAATATTTTTGAATTTATGTAGAATGTTTCTTTTATTATTCTGTGCAATTTCATACACAAAAATAAGATTTTTATGATAAATACTATAAAATTTAATTTCTGGCTAAATTATTTCTAATAAATGTTAACGATAATACCAAAATATATGTCAAAAATACTACAAATATGATATGCAAAATATTTTTTGATAAAATGTAACAAAATGTTTTTTGAGAAAATAAAGGTAATCCAAAAATTAATAAAAAGCAATATACTTTGTGAAGTAGTATGGCTGTATATTGCAGTGTAATAGAGGCACCTCTTCCTCGACTTCTTGGGAGTCACAGAATTGGATGATGTAGAATCCCCAGAAAATGAAACAACTAATTCTTGTCCAATAGACTGTGATAATGAAAAATCCTCGCTTGGAATGTTTACAGGTGAAATCGGTGTTAAGGTTGATTGTCCACCATTAAAATAATCAGAATCAGACCAATACTCATCTTCTAAAATTTTACACATTACTTTATTATAAAAAATTATTTAGTTTTGTAAAAAACGATTAAAGCTTGAAAAATTTTAGAAGAAAACTTTAATATTTAAAATAAATTATTTTTTTAATTCTACTATTTTTATTCTTCTATATATAGTTTTTAAAAATAAAACTTCCGTTTGTTTTTTTGAAGTTAAAATTAATTATTATTGTTTAAATAGAAAAATAATTTTATCATTCAATTTCAAATTTTTTTAATATTTTTGAAGTGGGGGTTATTAAGTTATGATTATGAATATGGTTTAATGAAATATGTTGACGATTTTATCAAAAATAAAACCCCTTATATAAAAATTTTTATTGCAAAAATAAAATAAAATTTACTATTAAAAACTTGAAAGAAATTGTTGAGAAAATTTTTGTTATTTTTTAAAAACTTCCTGTAATTTAACTTAAATAATTATTTTTCAAATGGTTCTTCAAACCAAATAACAAAACAAGATCCATATAATTGAGGTAATTATTACTACTTTTTTGATTTAATATATTTCACAGCCTCTTTAACTCACATACGATATGATATATCGAAAAGGAAATTCGATCTATATATAATACATACCTTTGAAGTTTGAAAATAGTGATTACAAATTATGTGATTTTATTTTTATATTTTATTTTCTGTTTCAGTTTTAATATGCTTATTATAATTATATTATACATAATAAGAAAAGCTATGACGATGATGATGATATTTACGAATACGAATTTAGAAATTTTTTTGAAAAACTTCCTTTTCTTCCGAAATCTAAAAAAATGGAAATTAATTTTTATTAAATTTATAATTATAAATGTTTCCATCGAGAATGTTGACGGAAATATTTTTAAATAGATCTAAATTAATTATATTTATGTTGAATTTTTTATGCAAAATAAAAATTTTTATTATATTTATAGAAACTAGAGACGCAGCCACTCGTTAATATCATACACATCTTTATTTTAGATTTTAAAAACATGTAGAAATATATAATTTACTTTTTTTATCACATCAGAAAATAGGGGATTTTATTAAAAAAATTAGCTACATAGTTTATTAAATTAAATAAATCCGGTCAGAAAGTTCGTATCTAATTCTGAACTAAGATCAGGATGGTATAGAAATAATCTATAAGCAAACCTACATAATAATTCATTTTAATTATTTCCAAGCCCTAAGTGTCCCCGATTAAAAATTTTTTAGTCATAAGCTGAGTTGCTTGCAGGATTTTCCTATTTAAGTTGGATATTATTGATAAATAATTTCTAATTAAAATATTTGAAACAACATTATTTATGGGGTTCGAGTTAATGCTGGCTTATTTCTTATATAAATATTGCTAATGTAGATCGCAGTGATTTTATTAGACCCACCTCGGGTTTGGGATTTACACAACCAACCAATTAAACAACACCCTTATCGATATTTTGTGTTAATAAAAATATACCTGACCCCCCCCCCCTCCCCAAGACCTATACCCGCCCTGTATGAGTGATCATTATCATTATCATTATCATTATCATTATCATTATCATTATCATTATCATTATCATTATCATTATCATTATCATTATCATTATCATTATCATTATCATTATCATTATCATTATCATTATCATTATCATTATCATTATCATTATCATTATCATTATCATTATCATTATCATTATCATTATCATTATCATTATCATTATCATTATCATTATCATTATCATTATCATTATCATTATCATTATCATTATCATTATCATTATCATTATCATTATCATTATCATTATCATTATCATTATCATTATCATTATCATTATCATTATCATTATCATTATCATTATCATTATCATTATCATTATCATTATCATTATCATTATCATTATCATTATCATTATCATTATCATTATCATTATCATTATCATTATCATTATCATTATCATTATCATTATCATTATCATTATCATTATCATTATCATTATCATTATCATTATCATTATCATTATCATTATCATTATCATTATTATTATTATTATTACAAAAAAATATTTTTATTTCCATATCAAAAAATATTATTTTTCACCCCCCCCCCCCACTTTTACCCCCTCCCCCCTACCCCACCAACCTCCAAAACCAAGTCATACACATCAAGATAAAAAATGAATACTTTCAATCTAAAGATATTTAGTTTAGATTATATTTTACCCATATATCGATATTTTGTTTTGATAAATTATTCCTGACCCCCCAAGACCTAGACCCGCCCTGCCCTGCCCTCTATCAGTCATTATTATTATTGCAATAAAAAAATATTTAATTATTAACTTGTTTATTAAATCGTTACACGACACGACCCAGGGTCTGAACCCCGGGTCTGTGCTCAGAGCTGGTTTGGTCGATTTTTTAGACCCAAACCCCGGGTCTGGTTTTATACAACCAACCAATTAACAACACTAGGCAACCCTGGTCAGTAAATACAAATATGGAGGTAATATTTCCAATTATTTCAATATAATAAGCTATTTCTCTTTAAAATTTTTTGCAATATTTATATTTTTTGCATTATAGATTATGCTTATAATCAGGAATATGATATACTATATTTTATAATTCTAGATGGTAGGTTATGAGTCCACTAATATGTTTGGGTCAGTAAATACAAATATGGGGGTAATATTTTCAATTATTTCAATATAATGAGCTATGTCTCTTAAATTTTTTGCAATATAGATTATGCATAATCAGGAATATGATATTATATATTTTATAATTCTAGATGGTAGGTTATGAGGCCACTAATATGTTTGGGTCAGTAAATACAAATATTTTATATTTCCAATTATTTCAATATAATGAGCTATGTCTCTTTTAAATTTGTTGCAATATAGATTATGCTTATAATCAGGAATATGATATTTTATATTTTATAATAATTCTAGATGGTAGGTGATGAATCCACTAATATGTCTGGGTCAGTAAATACAAATATGGAGGTAATATATTCAATTATTTCAATATAATGAGCTATTTCTCTTTTAAATTTTTTGCTATATAAATTATACTCATTTAATTTTTTACAATATAGATTATAACTATAATTAGGTAATATTGTATTTTATATTTAATAATTAATTTAGATGTTAGATTTTGGGGCAAGTTTTAATTCATGACTGCTATCTCTAACTGTGAAAGAAAGGTGAATGCTAATTATAATATACATCAGTCAGATGCTCTAAAAAATTGTACAGAGCAAATGAAAAATCAACATATTTATAAAAGAATAAGTTATATCTGTAAACAAGGTGGTATTTTTAAGAGTAAAGGAAAAAGTCTAAGAAATACAAAAAGCTTCAGACAAAATTGCACCAGTAATTTTGTTGTCAAGTTGATTAAAAGAGGTACAAATCAATTGGTGGTTACTCGTTTTCATGATACACATAACCATGAATTAGGTGATTATATATTTTGTTATTTTGCCAACAAATATCAATATTATATAAGTTTTTTCTCATCAACATAAATTTAAATATTTTAGATAGCAACTTATATAAAAGATTATTCAAACAACGTAAATTAAATGATAAAGAAAAAGAGTATATAATAGCTGGACATGATGGCAATATTTCAAAAATCCAATCAGATATTCAAAAATTAGATAAATTAACAACAAAAAGAGACCTGTATAATTTAAAATACAAGATTCCAATTAATAATTCCAATGAATTATCCACCCTTATTGCCACAATAAAAAAAGATAATCCAACTAATATTATACAAGTATTGATGGAAAATGACAATTTTAAAGCTTTTTATTTCCAAACTCCTAAAATGAGGGAATACTTTGATTTCTTCCCAGAAATATTATTAATTGATGCCACCTATTCCCTAAATAAATATATATTGCCTGTAATTACTTTGTTTGTTGTAGATGGGTTTGTTTGCATATGGGTTGATAAATCAGAAAGTTATTCTATAGTAAAAATGATGTGTGACAATTACAATTCAAAACATGATAAAATACGATGCATTATATCGGATAAGGACTTTGCAGACAGGCATGCCTACAAAGATGCCTTTCCAGAGGAATCATTAGAGATATGCTTATTCCATGTTTTTTGGGCATTCAACCAAGAAATTACAGTTAACAAAAGGAATATTTCAAAAGAACAAGTAAAAATAGTTAAAAAGGTCTATGGTTTATGCCAAGTCTACTGCAAAATATTTTATACAATATCAAAATTTATTGCAATTAAATATTGTATCAATTACCAATTATTATAATAATAACTGGCACTCAATAAAAGAAGAATTTTGTATGGCGACAGGTCAAACAACAAATTTTTTAATTTATACAAATAACACTGACAAATTTCGACTTGATTTTTTGGGAGAAAATAAAATAAACATGTTTTAAGAGTTTTTTAATCCGCTGTCAGTTTATTTCTAGCACGTCAGGTTTTTTATTTATTTCAGGTTAAAGTGGCCAAAAAGGTCATTTTTAGCACTTTTTGAAGGTTTATAACTTCGGTTCTAATGATCCCTACAACTAAAAAATATCTTAATTTTTGCAGCAAACCTTCCTTATTATTATTATACATTTTTTTTTATAAAATCCTTACTCAATTTTTAAACAACCTATATTTTTTAAATTTACCTTTATTTATAAAATCTTTTTTAATATAGCTTACATTTAATATATTTATTTATTGTGGCTTTCGTTCTCTTCGCTACACTGCACACGGTACGATTTCCTCCCATTCAAATACTATATAATGTTTTAGAGTTTCTCTCGAATTCCAGAGACAAAGAAAACACGAATGCTTGGTGTAGCCTAACTGAAGGCCAGTCAGGATTGCGATCATTTTGAGATCGCAGCATATCTTAAATTCGTAATTTGAATAATTTATTTTTGACAATAAATATTTCATATGATTCATTTAACTGGTTGGAATAGGCGATGGGAATTGATGGCTTAGAATTTCCGTTATAAAGCAAAAACATAAAGCAAAACTGCTTTCAAGCTGTTTTTGCTTGAATCGATGAACAAGCGCCATTCATCGGGTACCAATTCATATTAAGTTGTAAAAAAAAGTTGACCTAGATTGTTGGAATTAGTGTTGTACGGCTCGTTTTGAGTCGATTTTTAAAAACGGCTAACTCAATATTTCATCCAGAAAAATATTACGCAAGCCTGAAGATTTTGCTCAGAGAAGGAACAAAGGTCTCGACATATATTAACGAAATCTCGAGGCTTAGATAATATTTTTCTGGCTAAAATATTGAGTTAGCCGTTTTAAAAAATCGGCTCAAAATGAGCCGTTTAACAACACTAGTTTGAATAGTATAAAAAATTTTCTTAAGAGAATAAATTTTTAAACGATGCTCCACAAAATCGGTATGAAGTTCGAACTCCATTTTTTAAAATTTTAAAATCATTAAGCCTTGAGGCTAAAAATTCGGACTTTCTTTTTGAAAGTTGTAAATTTTTGGTAATGTCATTTATTGCTCTTGTGACATAAATGGCGAATCCTCTTCGGGATGATACTCAAGATCAATATTGTCATTGTCCTGGCAACGTAATTTTTCCAGCTGCGAACTATTAAAAAAAGGAACTGTTGTATGCATATTATATTTTACCGGATAAACAACTGACGAAATTTCCCGATAACGAATTTTCTTCTTATTTTTTTATTAAACCCAAATGTACTAATCGAGCAAAAATAACAATCCCACGAATGATTTCTTGCTACGTGCCAAAATTCAGGTTTCGAATAAGACAAATATGACCGTTTTCCATTTACCCATGAATTAAAAGAATTATAACATATTTTACACATGTAATTAGGGGCAAATGGTTTATCCAAATCGTAGAGTGGAATATTGTAATAAATTTCATAAATCCTTTGAATGATTGGAGAAATTGGACATTTTTGTGCGGGCAATATATAGCCCGCACAGATGTAACAAAATTTAGAGACACACTTTAAACAAGGGGACCTCGGCATTAATTTTTTGTAAAATATTATATAAGGAGGGAATTTGAATAATATTTAAAATCCAATTTAAAAAAAAATTAATGAAAGAAATTAAATGTTTATGAAAAATTAAGCGCGATAAAAAATAATTCTTCTCCTTTCTTCCTACTCGTTATTTGGCATTATTATTTATTGCCCATACTACTGGTTCAAGGTACTCCATTGGAAAATCATATATTTTGATATAAAAACAAATATTCTTAAATACATCTAAAAAAATTAATATTAATAAAAAATATGAAAAAATTAGCAATTATTGCATTTTAAATGAATTTTGCTTCAAAAATGCTCAATTCAAAAAGAGTACAAATTAAAAAAGTGGGTACAGATATCTGATTTTGGTATAAATTGATCATAAATGCATAAAATATTACTAAATACAACTAAAAAAAATAAATATTACCTTAATTTTGCTTTAAAAATGCTTTATGCAGAGAAAATTCAGTAAAAGTGTACAAATTAAAAAGTTCGAAAATATCTGTACCGACTTTTTTAATTTATAGATTTGGGTTGAATTTTCATGGCATAGAGTACTTTTGAAACATAATTAGAATTAATATATAATCTTGAGCATATTTGAAGCAAAATTATATAAAATTTATCTTCTAAAGTTAATAATTTTGATAGTAATTTAAATTGAAAACTTAAAACCCCCAAAACAAAATTCTTTACCACTTTTCTCAAAAACCAATCGATAAAAAATTTGTAAATTTATAAAGAAATATAAGTTTAACACTATCACCAATTTTCAGGGATTTTTATTCAATACTTTTTAAAATATATCCGTATAAAGACTTAAATTTTACCATTTTTGAGATTTCGAAAAGTTGTCTTTATACGGTAATATTTTTAAAACTTGAAGTGTAGGGAAAATTTAAAAAACGGATTCAAACTCAGCGTCAAATTCTGCACCAAAACTTGTTTTTATTTTCTTGTCAGTGTTATTAAAAAATATTCCTCGCTTCTAAATTTCTATAACAATTTAATTATTTGCATTAATATGAATGAATAGGAAAATGATCACTATAATAAGTTTAAATAGACCATCAAATTTTAAATTGGATTTGAATGAAAGGAAATTTAATTCCTTACTAACTAATTTTGCATTTAAAATTGTGTATAATAAGCTGAAATTATCAAATATATTAATTAAGAATCATATAGATGATGATTCTACTAATTTGTTTTATATAGAGGGACAACAAATAGTTGTAGACCAAAATCAATGTAACTGTGGACTCACAAAATCGTTATTGCTTCCTTGTATGCATATATTTTTTTATAGAAAGAAAAATGATATCAACATTTTTACCCCAAATCTTGTAATGAAAGATGGTATCGAAATTATTTCACCCTTACTGGAGAAATTAGTAGTGATAATTATATTAACAATATCATAGAAAACTGTAATAATGATATTAATAGTGAAATTAGTCATTGATTCACAAAGAAATATAAAAATACACGAATTACCTAAGAAAATCATAACAACCAAAACTCAAAAGTTCAAACATTTTCATGAACTGGCCCTTCTAATATAAACATTTGCATCCGAATTGTCAAAAGATCAATATAATAAATATTATGATTTTTTTCACAAATATATGAGGCAAGGGGAAATATTCCTGAAATATTTAAAGAAAAAAATTAAGATAGTAACCAAAATTCTGAAGGAGCCATACTTGATAATTTATCTCTTTTAAATTCAATAAAGATGCCACCCTTAAAAATGGGCTATTTGAAACAAATGGACATAAAAAAAGGAAAAAGTTTATAATTATTATTTAATATCTAAAAAATTAATTTTTTAAGCATGTGGAAATGTTAAAATTACCATTCATATAAGCAATGGCATATCTGAGCCTGACCATAACTCAAATTATCTTTTATCTTTTGAATATTTTTATTTAGGCAAGGAAAATAAAGTGAACAAAAATCCTTTCAGTAAATATATATTTATTACACACCATCATATTTTTTTTTATAGCTTCACTACCAAAGAATAATAGAATAGCAGTATCTTAGTTGCAATCTGTTTTTGCAAATTTAACCAATCACATTCAAAATATGGGACCCCCCAAAGCTATAGATGTTATTCAATACTCTGGTAACTAAAGTATTTTATCCTTTAAGTGAATATGAATATACATTTATTATAGCTTATTTTTATTTATAGGTGTAGGAAATAAAACAAATTTACCAACTTATTATACAATTTCTTTATTTAATATGTATATGTGTCTTGTCTTGTCGTTCACTGGGGAAACACACAATTAAGTGGTCTCTACCACCCAGCAGAGGGCGTATCCAGTGCAGAGAATTTGCATTCACTGTATGGCAGTAATTTACCCTACTGACAGGTCCCATTTAATTAAAGAGGGATTCATGGTACCACTCGTGGATAAGCCAGGATCCACTAAGTTTGGTAGTAATTTACCCTACTACCAGGGCCCGTTTAATTAAAGAGGAATGACGGTACCTCTCGTGGATAAGCCAGGATTAGGGCTGGGAACCAATATTAAAAACCCAATATAAACAAAATATTGTATTGGTATTGGTATTGGGTCTAAAATATTGGTATTGGTTTAAACAATATTTTCTATTTCTTGTATTGGTATTGCTATTGGTATTGGTTTATATTGGTAACTATTGGTTTATATTGGTATTGGTTTATATTCAAATTACTAATTAAAAGAATAGAAATAGTGATTATAAAACCCTTAATTTCTAATTTTAGATAAACATGGGGAAAAAAATCATGATACCATAAAATCAGGGCTAAGAACCAACTCTCAAAATTTTACTGAATTCAAATTCTTTTATTAAACTAGGAATTTATTAGGTGATGTGAATATAAAAAATTTTGATTTAATCATGTATTTTTTGTATCAACAATAATAAACGTATTGATTTTGAACCATTTTATTTATCACAAAGAACATAGCAAAATAAGTAAACTAAAAATGTAACATAACTCTATTTATACAAAATATAATGCAAAAGAATGATATAATTTTAATATAAGAGGAAATAATTTTATGTATTTAAGAAGAATCTTGCATGCGCATCCAACTTTTTAGGCACAGGCAAGGTTGTATAGTATGCTCATCTAGTGAACAACGTTGGTCTGTTATAACACGGTCCTTCTGAAAAAGCCCTTTCAGAGCTAGATGAGGTGGCCTGAATTGCTAGATAATCTCTGGCAATATTTGATAATACTGGATATCTATTTTTATTTAATTTCCACCAATCTAATGGATTTGTATCATTGGAAATTGTGGCTTCATCTACGTATTTACTTATTTCTAAGTTATTATTATGATGTTTCACCTGATAAATTTTGTCATAAAAGGACAATTTTTTGTTATTTTGTGCTTCATTTGTAAGTTCCACTGAATTGTTATTATTTATTTTATAAATATTGTATTCATTAGTAAGATATCCAATAAGAGTTTCCATATTATTATGCTTTAATAAATGACTTGATAGTTTAAATCTTGGGTCAATCATTGTTGAAATAATAAAGAGGTGTTTATTAAAATTATAGTATTTATTAAGTTTTGTTAAGGCAGCTAAAGAAGCTGTCTTTAAAATAGCATTAGGATTATTATTATAACTCTCCACATGCTCAAAAATACTGGAATATAAAGGAATAATTGTTGAAATTGTTGGAGTATTAGCACATGAGGCCATCTCTGTAGCAAAATTAAATGGTTCCAGAAATTCTCGGAATATTTCTATATTATTCCAGGCTAAGGCACTAATATAATTTTCTTGATTGGTATTTTGTAAATGATTGGTATATGTTGTCAAATAGGGTTTGAGCAATATTGTTCTTTCAAGCATTTGGTATGTTGAATTCCAACGTGTTGGTACTTGGTATATCCAAAATTGTGAGGAAATTTTAAATGTGGATTTTTTTCAAGATATATTTTTTCGAGTTTAAAAGAAAGTTTAAAAATTTTTTAAAAATTTCTTATTTTTTTTAAAGTTGTATTTAAGGGTTCCAATGCAGCCATGACAGCCAAATGTATAATATGGCAAAAGCATTTGCACACATTATCAAAATTATCTTTTTGTTTTAAAATTTTTAGAAATGCTAAATTATTACTTGCATTGTCTGATGTAATGCAAAAAAAATTTCAAATTTTACTTTTAATACAGAATTAAAAATATTAATAGAATTATGTGCTGATTTAAAAGGAATAAAATCTAATAAATGATTATTTAATTTAAAATCATTATCAATATAATGAATTGTTATGCCCATAAAGGGTATTTTATTTGGAGAGGACCAAATGTCCATTGTTAAAGAAAATTTAGATGTAATGTTAGAAAGTACAGATTTTAAATTGATTAAAGAACTATGATAATGTTTCATAATTTCTATTTTTAGCGTTTTTCTAGAAACTAATGTTAGTATGCTATTAAATTTTTAAAAGTGATATCCTCAACTATTGAAAAGGCTAAATTATTTTGAATGAAAAAGTTTATAATTAAATTAGCTTTATTATTTATATTATTAAGTAAAAATGATTTTATTGTCTTGATTTTTTTACTGCCAATATTTATTTGCTCACATTTCTTATATAATGTTGGGTGGATGGATTTAAGATGTGTCCATAATCCTGAGGTTCCAAAATTAGGAAGTGATATTTTTTTTTACATTTATTACAAATTGCCTTTTTTTATTATCACAAGTAGTATAAAATTCCCAGATTTTTGCTGAATTTCGTCTTTTATTAGATATTGATAATTCTTCTTGTTCATTATCGCTATTATTATTAGTACCAACAGCATCTATATTTATTAACTCTATTTGGTCTTCATTTATTATAATATCCTAAATAAATAAATAAAATTGATAGATATCATGTAAAAAATTTACTTCCATAATAAAAATAAACTATAATTATAAATAACAGAAATATTGATATCACAGTAGTATTTGGAAGAAATAACAGATGTAATCAGTTTTTGCAATGAAAGTAAAAAAAATACCACGATATAATTATTCACGATAAACCCAAATTATTATGTTATTTTTAATATTGGTATTGGATTGGTTAAAATTGTATTTAAACAATATATCAAAACCAATATATTTAGGTAATTGGTATTGGTATTGGTTGTAAAAGCAATACCAATATTTATATATATATTGGTTTATATTGGTATTGGTATTGTAAACCAATATTATATTGGTATTGGTCCCACCCCTACTTTTCACCCATTTCAAAGTTTTAATATCTGTTAATATATTTTTTTTTGTTTTCTCCCTTTCAAAGCCATCTCATGGTAAACTCTTGTTGCCAAGTATGCTTAAAAATAATTTCGCTTAATTCTAATGGGGTTAAATATCGTTCACCCGCTTGCCCCAATTCTGGAAAATTTCCCCACTCCTCTTGAGCTCTTTACTCGTATGACTCCAGTCTGATTTGTTGTACCTCAAGCCCTGTTGATTTTTCTTAATTCGCATAAGCCCCCAGTTTTTTTAGGATCCCTATATCTGCCCGAGAGTCTATCTCAAGGTTCCTTACGTCTCTTATGAATAATTTAAACTCAGATTTCTCCTCAATACCCTTATAAAGAGCAAAAATTTTAATAATAATTTTATAATTAATTTTAAAATCATCTTTTTACTTTCAATTTACATGTAAAAATGTGCATTGCAAATATATTTTTCAAAAAAAAAAATTTTTTAAATGTAGACGAAAATAAGTTTGGTATAATCTAAATAGAGGGCGAGAAATTATGGGTTGAAACTAATTTGGGAAAAAGTAATTCGCCATTTTTAAAAACGAACGTTCATAAATCAATAAAATTTACCAATTTTACCATTCCTAATAAGAAAATCTCCATAATAATAGCATCAAGAAGTGCCTCTTCTTATGGTATTTGTAAATCAATTTGCAATTGCCAAAAAAGTTGCAACAATAAGAGATGCCAATGTTTTAAAAATGGCATTAATTGTTCCACAAAATGTCACTTAAATATTTGTAAATAATAAATAATTGTTCAAAATTATATTTTAAATTAATTATCAAAATTAATAAAATATGTTGTTGATTATATGGCTTGAAAAAAATATAAGAAAAATTTATAATGTCATTTTAAAATTTGTGAATCGATACATAGTTTCAAATATAACTGAAATTTTGACATTTAAAAATATTACAAATTAGATTAAGTTGCTAGCAAATAATTTTATCATTAGGCTGCAATGAGTTTTTAAAAAGCCATGAGTATATTTAACCCCTGATTATAATTGTATTTAATAATGAAGTGTAAATGTATTTAATTTTTATTTAATACCCATGTTGATGTTTTGCGTTAATATTAATAATATTCATTAGGCCCGCTTAAACTGATAAAATTAATGTAATCAAAAGATTTTTTAATTACTATTTATTAGATACCCATAAAAATTCACTATCTTATAGCCAGTTGAAATATTTAGACAAGAAGGCCAGATTTATTTTTCAAGTATATGAACAATCTAAATTAGGGGAGGGGTTGTAAAATTTAAAAATAATAATAAAATAAGATTAGATTTAGAAACAATTATAACAAGAAAAATGGGGGAGAAAAAAGTTCAAAATTTAAAAAAAAAGAAAAAGGAGCTATAAGAAAAGAAGTATTATGAACAATCGAAATTAGGGGAGTTGAAAAATTAAAAAATAAAATTAGATAAGATTAGATTTAGATACAATTATAACAAGAAAAAGGGGGGAAAAAGTTCAAAATTTAAAAAAAAAGAAAAAGGAGCTATAAGAAAAGAAGTATAATTATGAACAATCGAAATTAGGGGGGTTGGTAAATTTAAAAAAATAATAATATAGAACAAGAAAACAAGAGAAATTAGGGTGGGGTGGGGAGGGTTGGAAAATTTAAGACAAATAATACTTACCAAAAATTTTTATTCTTTAAATTTTAAATTTAGCCTTCATTTTATTTTTTACTTTATCAAAAATTTTTTATTTCCATATTTTTTTAAAATAAACAAACAAAAAACTTTTTCTTTTTCCTAAAATTATGGATTATGATTATGATGACGATATTCTTTTGGATGATGAAGATGATTCTTTGGCTACATCGTCAAATAACGATTCGTTATTTTTGTCTCAATCAACTATATGACAGGAATTGGGAGATTCATTTTCTGAAGAAGCGTCATCATCTATGCTGATGGATATAAAAAATCATTCACTATGACCCCAAACAAAACAAGAAAAAAATGTAATCTTTGTAGTACCGTATACAAATTCTCAACTTCCCAAAGTACCAATATTTTTTAATTTTTAAAGAGCTAATTTTTATCTTAAAACATTTGTCAATTTTTATATTTTTTAAAAATCAATGTACATATATTAATTAATCATCACACATTTAACAATATATTAGAATTGTTCTTATCTGTTTTGGATAACGGTTACTATTAGGGGAGAGTGGGCTTAGTTAGACCCCGGGGATTTGCCCACTTAATCTCATTTTATAACTACACCAGAAGGTTAAAAATTTCATCTTATTATAATTTTATAGTTACATCTATAGAAAGAATATTTTTTTAAATAATTATTAATTTTGAAATGATTTTTAAACGACTGAATTTTTATAAAAATTAAAATATATAATCATTTAGATTTAAATTAAATTTACAGCAAAGTTTTAACAGTATTCTATAATTTGGGTAAGTTTCAGGGATCCAAACCGAAACGAATACAGGTTCGGTTTAGGTTCGTATAAAAATAATGGTTCAGTTTCGGTTCGTAATAAATAAAAATATCGGTTCGATTTGAACCTCTATAAACCGGTTTGAACACTTTTGTATTTAAACATATAATATAATTATATGTTTTATCTGTTGTGATATTTTGATTATATTGAGTTCTAGAGGGTGCTTTCTTTTCTAGTGAGGCTCATCAGAGTAATTTTAGCGGTTCGGTTTAAGTTCAGCTATAATTTTTTAGCGGTTTAGGTTCAGTAAAGGTTCGATAAATAATACCGGTTTTTAGCCGCTAATGGTTCGGTTCAGGTTCGGTTTGGATCTAGGTAAGTTTTATGAGTATTTATTATGTCTAGATATCATTTCAATCATGATTTATCAATTTAGAGCTAACGGGGCTTTCTAAACCATATATGTAAATTATGGCAGTTAATGAAAAAATTTTCAAATAATTTCCTAGCTGTTTATGATTTGTATTAAGATTTATGCTAAGATTTTCCCTAAAGATCCTTATTTTTTATATCACAAATGTTTATTAAATTAACCAAAATTAATTATCGATTTTTATTTATATTTAGCATCAATTAATAATTATTGATATTCTCAACATTACAACAATAAAATTATTCTATTCGTATCAATATAAATAAAAATATATTTCAATTTATGATGGTCTAAAAAAACAAATGGTTTAGGAAGCCCCTTGAAGTGGTTTGCCTCATCCCGCTATTGGGGCTTTTTGGACAAAATTTTTACTTTTACAATATAAAATTTAAAAAAATATTTTATTTTTAATCTAGATATCTGCTTGTAGGCCCGGAGCGAACGGGCTTCGGACTTGGCCAGACCTGTTAATATTTTTGTAAAAAAATTCGGGCTCGGGCCGGCTGGCAAAACTTTTATTACTTTTACAAATCTATCTACACAATTTGAATTAATCATGCACAATTAACAATACATTTAGATACAATTAATCATATTATTAATTGTCTTTTAGTTGATTCTATTATAATTTCTAGCTAAACAAAATTTTCATAAGAGGGCTCCTAGATTCTAAATAGATGTATTATATTTTAAAACATAAATTTAACCTGATCTTTATTTTTTATTTGGTCTTAGTACCCAATTTTGTCTGGCCCTCTGAACACGAACCCGCAGCACAGACTGGGCGATTTTATTTAATGAAAATAAACAATATTTAAATATATTTAGGCAATCGTTTTGTTTACAATACTGAAATTTATTATTTGGAAAAGAGGCAATATTTTTTTTAAATTAGCAATTGTTTTAAATATTCTAAATTTAATAATTGTAAGCCAAAGCTTATTAAAAAAGTTTTAAAAACTTAGGACAGCTAGATAATATGATATTAGGCCCTCTGGGTTGCTTGCCAGCCCATGAAGGTCTCTGGTTTAGACCGAAAAACATTACTTTTTAAAAACTTCCGGCACTAATTTCATAGACCTGCAGAAGTGCCATTTGCACGACCCGGCCTGGATTTTTTCTCAAAATTTTTTTCGACCAGGCCCGTCTTAGCTTTTTTAAAATAAATTTTCAGGCCTGGCCCTACTTTAAAAAAAAAATTTCAGGCCAGGCCCAGATTTTTTTAAAAATATACTTATTTTTGATTTATATAGCTAATAATGGCGATTTAATGGTTTAAAATATACGGTCCGCCCCGGATTATTTTTAAAATAAATTTTCAGGCCCGGCCTGGGTTAATTTAAAAAAATTAAAATAGGTCCGGCCAGTGTACCAGGTCGGGCTAGGCCGGACCTGCAGGTCTCTGACTAATTTATTAAGACCAATAATGGAGGATTATAAAATATATGGAATTATTTTTTTTTATATTTAGCGAATATGAAAAAACATATGAAATCAGTGCATCCAAATATATTTAATGAGATGGCTCAGGGATCCTCCATTTATGACACGATGCTTGGGATGCGGAAGCCCTTACCCCATGAAAATTTGATGATTAATAAACTAATCCTAATATTCCTAATAAAGACAAATATATCTTTTAGCACCATTGATAATTCAGCCTTTAAAAGAATATTCAATTATGCAAATAAAAATATTAAGTTATGGTGTAGACAGACCATTAAAAAAAATCTTGATAATGTATATAATTTGGCCAAAAATAACTTAATTGAAAAATTAAATAATCATACAAATTTGTTTTCTATTACTACTGATATCTGGACTGCTAATAATATTATGTCCTTCTGTGCCCTTACCTTTCATTATATAAATAAAAATTGGGTAAATATCAATCTGGTATTGCATATGATTGCGTTTCCTCATCCACACACAGGAGATGAAATTTGCAAAATTGTCTTATTTTTATTAGAAGAATTCAAATTAAAAGATAGAATACTGTCAATAACACATGTTAATGGATCTAATGAGGTCAAGGCAGTCCAATTGCTGCAAAAATATTATCAATCCCATTACTCAAAAATTTTATATGGATATCGCTGCTTGGCCCACATCATTAATTTAATAGTAAAGGTTGGCCTTAATTGTTTTGAGGAGAAATTGAAAAATATAGAACAGATAGTGGCTAAATTACATAGCTCGTCAAAATTCATGCAATCATACAAAGCAGTAAGTGGGGCAACTAAGATACTTCTTGCTGTTAAAACGCGATGGAACAGCAAATACCTAATGATATCCTCTATTAATAAGGTAATTATTATTGTATATTTATTATATTCTTTTTCTTAATATTTATCTTTTTAGAATATGAATGCTATACAAGACCTGGTCAAACAAGGTATAATAGGGACAGATATTACTCCAACTCCTGATGATTGCGCGTTCTTCATAAAGTTGGGAGAATTTCTATTACCATTTTATCAAATAACCGTAAAAATATTCACCCAATCTCCCACAATTGGGATGGCCCTATTATCTTTTAATGATATAATTCAGAATTTGAAAAATTATACTGTGATTATTTCTGATTTATCAATAAAAGAGGCTGCAACTCTTATGTTAAAAAAAGCTAACGAATATAGTGAATATATATTCACCCCATACAATTATGCAGCGACATTACTTGATCCTAGGATCAAAAATTCGATGATTACAAATCAAAAGAAAGACCTCGCAAATAAATATTTTGATATTTTTAAAAAAAATTTTGAGAAATATATGTCCGAGCCATTTGATGCGTACAAATTTGATAATAATAACAATCCCTGTATATTTGTTCAATCTTAATATATAATCTTTAATATTTTATATTTATCCATATTTAGAAAAAGCGCATCAAATGGAACTAATGATAATAGTTAATTAATGACATATCTCGATGAGCCACTCGCTCCCGAAATTACACATATATTAGATTGGTGGAGAGGAAATGCTGAACGTTTTCCTCATTTAGCAATGATGGCTAGGGATTATCTATGCCAACAGACAACCTCAGTGGCATCGGAAAGAGCTTTTTCCTTGGCCGGAAATATTATGACTAAACTGAGGAACAAGATGGCCCCATCGACGCTGAAGCAATTATGGCACTATCCTCCTGGGTAGGCCTACAAAAAAACTCGAATCGAATAATTGCGCTATTCGTATTCGAACGAATAATAAAATTATTCGTTTCGATTCGTCGAATATTCGATTCGAAAATTTTTCTAAAGCTTATAAAATATTTTGCAAAAAAAATTTTACAGATGTTTAAAGATGACACTTTTAAGGATTCTCTAAACTAATTGTCATTACAATATAAAAATTTATAGAAAATAAACGAAATAAAACCCAATGATTTCATATAACATTGACCAAAATATCCGATTTTTAGAATTAGAATTGCTTATAAAAAAATATTTAAACTATTTCTTCAATCTAATATTCAAATTTTATTAAAATTTTCTAAAAATATACTATAATCTCATTTTATAAAAATAGAAAATAATACACAAAAATATAAAATTATAGTAAATCCGAATTTGATAATATCCAATTTTTTAAGCATAAAGTCTTTCTAATAGTTTCCTTTTCAAAGACATTCTATTTTTCATTATCATATTTGTTCCTATTGAGAACAACCGCTCACATGAAGCCGAAGATCCCTGAATTGACAATATATCAGTTGCCATTTTCGACAACACAGGAAAACGATCCCTATGCAATCTCCACCATTCTAAGGGACTCTTATTTAAACTGATTCTTATTTCGTTAAGATATGTTACCACCTCACATACTGATGCGATGTTATTTTGTTTAAAAATTCTATCCATGTTCGATACTATTGAATTAACTGATGTTGATTTGATATTATATTTTATTTTGTAATCATTATATACATCTTTAAATTTTTCTAATAGATTTGTCGTGTCTATGTTATATGTAGTTGGTAGTTGCTCAAAAAATTCCATTTTTACTCTAGGATCCAGTATTGTTGATATTATAGTGTGAATATTTGTTAAGTTATAATAAGTTTCTATTTTCTCAATCGCACTGATAGATTTTATAAAATCGAGATCAAATGAATTTAAATGTTCGATTAAAGAAACATAGAAAGGGATGACAAGATTTAGGGTAGGATATGTGTCACCAATATATCTTCGGTAAAATCAAAAAAAGTCTTTAATTTGTTTTGTATGTTTATTAAAGTAGTCCAATCATCCTGATAAAAAATAATAATTAGTAAATAAAATTAAATTACTTCGCTCAGTTTTCTTTCTTCGATATCAGATATATCATCATATATCTGAGTCACAACTTCATCAATAGCCCTTCTCATTTTAATAGCTCTTTCGACTATTAAGTAAGAGCTATTCCATCTGATGGATGTGTCTAATTTTAATTTTAAATATTTCATAGGGGGAAGTAGTGAGGAGCACACATTTTGCATAATATTTGTCTTTGTAAAAGAATTGCGAATAATCTTTATGATTGTTCTTACTTTTGATACTTTGCCTGTCTACTTTCTTAAGTATTTCCTGTACTACTAAATTGAGTACATGTGCAAAACATCGCACATGTAAAATTTCACAATTTGGGTGTTTAATACGAACAATTTTTATGAAAGCAGAATTAGAGCTAGCATTATCGCAAGTAATTGCTATCTTACTTATGTCGATATTATAATTTTTTATAATTTGAGAAAACTCTCTGTAAATATCTTCACCAGAATGCGAATCAGTAAATGGAACTATATCCAATAACAATGATTTCATCTCCCATTTTTCATCAATAAAGTGGCAGGTCAACCCTAAAAATGGTACATTAGTAGGGCTTGACCATATATCAGTTGTAAAGTTAATTTGGCATTTTAAATTATTTATAATTATTTTAACTTTATTGAATTCTTTAATAAAAATTTCATTCATATATAGTTTAATTGACGGTATTGAGCATATTTTTATTTCAGGATTTAAAGCTCTAACGAAGGACTTAAATTCCTGAGTGGCGAGAATTTTAAAAGGTATATTTGACTTTAGCAAAAATTTTAATAAATAATGCTTAACATCATCAGCATTTGTTTTGGGTATATCATTTAAATAGTTTCTAATAGTATTATTTTGTTTATCTTTTGTTATGATTAATTAGTGCTGACGTAGTTTTTTTCTTGCACATTATCTCCACATTGCATATTTTACATTTAGCTGTTTCTTTTTTATCATCATGGAGATAATGATTCCATATTAAAGAATTTTTCCGCCTAGTATTAAAAGGTTCAGTTTGATCAGAGATTGATGTAGATCTTGAACTATTTGCGGATTGGCTATGTCCTTCACCATATCTTCTTCCATCAAGATTTTCTAATTGATCTTTGAATACATTTTAACATTATATCATATAAAATCCAAGTTTACCATCCTTACTGAAATTCCAGATTAATGACACATTAGAAGCTGAAAGAAAAAAACAGTAAATTAATTAAACAGTGGCATAGGCATGGGGGGGGGTCTTTTTTTAAAAAATAAAATTATTTTAATTTACTATTTTTATTCCTATTATGAATTAGCAAAACCTTAGAGAAAATTAGACCTTTATAAATTCAAATCAAAAATAGCAATATGATAATATTAGTTTTAAATAATATTTATTTTTGTAAAATAAATTCTTAGTTATAATATTTATATAATTTTTGTATTAATTCTTAAAATTTATGGAAATACTATTTTAATCAAAGTACAGTGTATTATTTATATATTTTTTTAAATTTATATTTATGTAATTTTTAAATTACATTTTTTTAAATATAAAAATTTTAAATCTATTTAAAATATCTACATTTTAAATATTATTTTAAATATTTGCATAATATATAACAAATTTTAGAGAGTATTTCATTATAGATTTTATTTATTATATAAAAATACTTTAGTAGCATAAATTTCTTTTATTTAATCATGTATTTATTTTTATTATTAATATCATTTTATTAGAGGTGAAGGTGATTATGACAAAATAAAATTTTTAAAATTATAATCTATATAAAATTTATACATTTTAAAATTTATTTTAAATATTTACATATAAAATTTAACAAAATTTTAGAAAATATTTCATTATAGATTTTATTTATTAAAAATACTTTAGTATAGCATAAATTTCCTTTATTTAATAATGTATTGATTTTTATTATTAATATCATTTTATTAGAGGTGAAGGGATTATATGACAAAATAAAATTTTTAAAATGATAATCTATATAAAATATCTACATTTTAAATATTTGCATATAAAATATAACAAAATTTTAGAAAGTATTTCATTATAGATTTTATTTATTAAAAATACTTTAGTAGCATAAATTTCCTTTATTTAATCATGTATTTATTTTTATTATTAATATCATTTTATTAGAGGTGAAGGTGATTATGACAAAATAAAATTTTTAAAATTATAATCTATTTAAAATATCTACATTTTAAATATTTGCATATAAAATATAACAAAATTTTAGAAAGTATTTCATTATAGATTTTATTTAATATATAAAAATACTTTAGTAGCATAAATTTCCTTTATTTAATTATTAATATAATTTTTAGAGGTGATTATGACAATGTAATAGAGGATGAAGATATTATAATGCACTACCTGAATTAGATTGTCATTAAAATTTGCCAAAAATAAGGTTACTAAATGGGAAAAGGATTTTCCTAATTAAATAATAATAACTAGTCAAAAAAATGTAGTTATTTATCTGCTAGGAGCTCGAGAATATCACTATAAAAATGTTTTGACTTGTTCATAACATTAAAAATGATTAAAGAGAAACAATCAAAATAAAATAATTATATTTTACTTTGAAGCTTTTCCTTTTCTTCCATTAATCTTTTTCAGCAAATATAACTTGTTATGATTTGATATTTGATAATAGGAAATAAAATAAAACGAAATGATACCCACTAGGAAAATTTAATTACTTCTTTTTATTTTACTTGCAATAAAATATTTGCGAATAATTACGAATATTTATATATAAATAATTTCGAATAATACGAATAATTTTCCTCATTACATATTCGATTCGAAATTTCGAATCGAATATCAAATAACAAATAATTCGTTTTAGGCCTACTCCTGGGACATAGATATAATGTCTCTTCGTGATGAAATATGGCAATAATTTCTCAGGTGTAACAATATATGCAATCATATTTTTAATAAACATACATCAATTAGAGAGGTAAAAATAATAATATAAAATATCACTTATTTAGAAATTGATTTAAGTAAAATATCTATAAATTTAAATATTTTTGTTAATAGGTTAATTTTAGCTTAATTTATTATTCGTAAAAGTCTAAAATGCAGTCAATTTTAAAACATAAATTAAAATTTCAGATAACTGCAGGCACGTGAATATTAATTTAGAAAATTCAAGCCGTTTAAAAACATTAAGTATCATGCATGTTATATAATATTATTTATCTCAATAAAATTAGTAATATTTATATATTTGTTTAAATATTATTTAAAGCGGGACTTGCAGTATGTTCTCTCTACCGATCGGAATATATAATGGAATGGGAATTTTAACATAATATTATATTTTAAATGTATATTATATTATTTTTTTTTCATTATATTTATAATAATACTATAATTATATTTATTAATTTATTTGTTTAAATATAAATTATAATAAAATATCATCATATTTTGCGATTTTTAAGATGTTTATATCAATCACGAATAAAAAATATATATTAAAATTTCGAATATCTTGCCAACCATAGAATTTTTAAATTTGACAATAGTCACCTAGATACTTGGCGGTTCCTTTGGCAAAATGTATATGCTTTATTTTGACTAATGGCCAGTATATCATTAAAAATAAATTACTTAATTAATTTTTTCCAAAGGCAACATCCTAAGCCAGCTATCGGTAAAGTCTCATGGAGGACATTTTTTTAATCTTTACTTAAATGATTATAAACAAAAAATTTTAACATATACCTTTTAAACAATAATAATTTTTAAGAATAGTATATAAAATATAAAAAATTTTAAAAATAATTAGTTTTTGTAAGACATGACTCTAAATCTAAAATAATGTGTTAAATACTATTTTTGAGGCTATTATGTTTAGAATTACGAAAATTAATAATGATACAATACTCATATTTTAAGAAATGCAGTTAAAATCATTGATATCTTCTAGTTATATTAGCATCAATAGTTCTTTTTAAAAGTAAATAAAAAAAATTACTACAATTTATAGTAGGCTGATCTATTTTATATTTAGTTAAGTAAAATGATAGAATCGTTCGTATGTCGTAATCATAATCAGTTTTGTCAGTCAATATTTTGCTTTGGTAATCCTGACTGAGACTCATCAGGACTATCTAATTATTTTGGATAAAAATTTTCCTGCCCCTTCTAAGCCCTATATTAGCTTAAAGAGTCGAGACTCGAGAGGGAAAGCTAAATCATATACATTATATTCTTTCCTAGTAGATTCAAAATAAAATTAAAAATAAATGGGTTTTTGTCCCGCTTCTGGACTAAACATAATTTATTTCAGAGATTTTATTACTTACAACAATATGATAGATTATATATTTTTTTGCTATATAAATTTTTGAGATATAAGCATTTTAAAAATCTTAAAGATTCCAATGTGGCACTTTTTTGTACATTTGAGCCCCTATATATGGAAAACCAAGTGTGCTAGCTAGCTAAAATAAAACGACTTTCTCATTATTTTACCTATCCCAGAAATTTTTAACAATTTAAAAAGAAGCTGATTCGTAGCCGCGACTTGAGTCGAGTTTTTAGTCGTAAAAAAAGACTCAGCCTCGAGCGGCTTAATGAGCCGTTTGAGTCGACTCTTGAGATACAATTTTTTCATAGTTAAATAATATACAGAGTCAGCTGTTGTTTTCGAACATAATCTCTTATTTTACAAATTCTCTTAAAACTAGCATTTATTTAAAAAAAAAATTTTGAGATTAAAATACAGATACCTCTAAAATTATATCTAGATACAATATCTTTTTTATAATAGTGTACCTAGTAGATAAAGATACGATATTTTTATATTTAGGTGCTTTATCAATTCTGATAATCATCAATCCAATAAATTTCTATATCATATTTATTCAATCTTATAGTAATCCTATTAGGTTGTTAATTCATCCAATCCACTCATATATTAAAAATATTTTTTTATTTTCCATATAAGTAACTAAAAAAATAATAATTTAAATTTAACTTAAAAAAAAACAACACTATTGGGAATGGGATTAATGTAGAATGAAATAATAAAGCTTAAAATTAATAAATAAGGTTTATAAATTTTTTTAGTTTTCCTTATAATCATTTCATTTTAGTATCTACAAAATCACCACAGTAACTGATTAAAAAAACATGATTACTCTACCCTACCCAAGGTAGAGCTCTGCAAATTCAATTTTTTTTTGCCTAAGCCCATTGCAACTTATTCTAAAACCCTATCTCAGTTATATATACCTATTGATTTTTAGGCACTACTAGAACCCTTTTCCTTTCCTTAACTCCGAGTCTGAAAATATTTAAATAAAAAGAATTTTAATTTTTATATTAAATTTAATAATATTTAATAAAAAGAATTTTAATTTTTATATTAAATTTAATAATATTTAATAAAAAGAATTTTAATTTTTATATTAAATTTAATACTATTTGTCCTCTTTGTTTTATTCTTAGCAACAATTTTGGGAATTTTTAAATTAAACGACCCGATATAAATTTTTTTATCCCGAAGCTAACTTGCTTTTGCAGGGCTATATAATAATTAAAAACAACCCCGGGTCTGAAACCCGGGTTTGTGCTCATAGCAAGTATTAGCACAAAATTGGGTCGTATATTTCGACCAAGCAAATTAACAACACTAGCCTGACCAGACCTGTTAATATTATTATAAAAAAATTCGGGTTCGGGCCACCTGGAAAAGCTTTTTATACTTTTATAAATCAATCTACATTTCTAGTATAATTTCTAACTAAACAAAATTTTTATAAGAGGGATCCTATATTCTAAATCAGTGGCTTAGAGAAGGGGTTGAGGAGGTGGGGGGGTTGGACCCTCCTTACCCCCCCCCCCCCCCCCCCCAATAATCTCCGAAAATTTTTTTTTTTTAATTTAAAAAAAAATTTGTAAAAAATATTTTAGAAATTTTTTTTTTTTTTAATTTTTTTCTTATGGTAAATAATTTTATAAAATGGTTTCAATATACGATATGAAAATAATATATTAAAAATTATATGTAAAATATTTGATAACAATAAAAATATTGAAAATCTTTTCTCGCATAGTTAAATTAGATATTTATAAATTTTATAATAAAAATTATATTGTTAAACTAATTAGATAGTTTTAAAAATTTTAATTAATTTTTTTATAGTTTTTAAATAAAACAAAAATCATTTAATTTGGGAAATATAATGAGAAAGTAAAGGTGTTCGCTAATATGTTTGGGATTAAAAATTATTTAACCTAGAGTAGTTTCTAGATACTCCAATCTAAATATTGATGCATCTACGATTGAGGATTTTTATAAAATAAATAATTTCACTTCCCTTATTGGTACATTTTAATTTTAATTAAAGGTAAGATTTATTAGTCATAATTTTATTTTAAACAGCTTTTATTTTCTATTGCCGGTTGAGTCTAAATCCACTTGAAACGCGAGAGGATATTAAGAAAATCTCAGAGTATTATTCTGATGAATTATCAGGATCGTTTGATGAATTACTTTGTGATGTCGAATTTTGGTATAAATTTTGACAGAATAGAGTACTCTTTGAGACCAAAATATACTTTGAGGCCCTTTCCATATATAATTGCACTTTAGATTATCTGCCTAATATCAAAACATTACTTTTTATCTTAGCTACCTTACCGATTAGCACCTAATGAAAGGTCTTTTTCAACTTTGAAAAGGTTAAAAACCTATTTAAGATATAGCACCGGTGAAAGCCGTTTAAATGGATTCGCAATATTAAATATTTATAAGGAGATTATTCTAGATAAAATTTGATTCTAGATGAATTACTCTAATCTCGTGAAAAATAGACCTCTCTCTAAAAATTCAAATTATAAAATTGCTATATTATTGATCTTAGTCATAAAATTTTTATATTCAAAACGTAATTATAATGAATTCTTAGTCATAATACTTATATATTATACCATTTTTAATAAAAATATTGCATTCGCACTAAGAATTAGTTATCTGTATCGGGCTTGATTTTCAAGTCCGGCCCTGCCCGAAATTATTTTTTAAAAAGTTCGGCCTGGCCCAAATTTATTTAAATATAGAAATTCATTTTATAATTACTCAAAATAAAAGTCATAACAAATGGGAGGTTTTGGGGGGGGGGCATTTTTTTCTACTTTCTACACCTAATGGATTAAATTAATTTACAATTGACTAAACATTGATAAAATTTTCAGAACAATGCTTTCAGTCGCGTATTAATCATAAATTTGGCCAAAATTATATTACTAATTTTTTTCATTTATACTGGCTACTATAGTGGTTTGACACCAATAAAGCATAAAATTTGCAAATTCCAAAGCCCCCTCCCCCTCCCCCATGGATAAATCCTGGCTACGCCACTGTTCTAAATAGAGTTTTATATTTTAAAACATAAATTTAACCTGATCTTTTCTTTTTATTTAAAATTTACTACCCAATTTTGTCTGGCCTGCTCTGAACAAGAACCCGCAGCAGAGACCCGGCGTTTAGACCATAGACCATTTGCTTAAATTTTTTGACCAACTCGGACCCGAGCCAATATCCAAAAATTTAATTTTTTTAATTTAATAAACAATATTTTAATATATTTCGGCATTCGTTTTGTTTACAATACTGCTATTTATTTTAGAAGAAAAAAAGGCAATATTTTTTTTAAAATTAGCAATTTATTTAAATATTCTAAATTTAATAATTTTGGGCCCAAGTCTATTAAAAAAGTTTTAAAAACCTAAGCCCGCTAGAAAATATGATAATAGGCCTTGTGGGTCACTAGCCGGCCCATAAAGGTCTCTGATTTAGACCTAAAAATATAAAGTTTTAAAAATTTCCGGTACTAATTTATTAAGATTAATAATGGAGGATTATGAAATATATAGAATTATTTTTTTTTATTTAGCGAATTTGAAAAAACATTTAAAATCAGTACATCTAAACATATTTAAGGAGATGTCACAGGGTTCCATTTATGACACGATGCCTGGGATGCGGAAGCCTTTATTCCATGAAAATTTGATGATAAATAAACTCATCCTTATTTTCTTAATAAAGACAAATATTTCTTTTAACACAATAGATAATCAAGCCTTCAAAAGAATATTCAATTATGCAAATAAAAATAAGTTATGGTGTAAAATTTTTTAACCAAATAATAATTATTTGGTAGAATTAATTGTTTATAAATATTTAAATTATGTTATATCTTTTAATATAAAAAAATTTCAAAATCGAAGTTTTTAAGATATGTCTCTTAATCTAAAATAATGTGTTAAATACTTTATTTAAGACTATTACGTTTAGAAATACGAAGATTAATGATAAAATATTCATATTTTAAGAAATGCAGTTAAAATCATTGGTTTCTTATAGTTAAATTTGCATCAACAGTTCTTTTTAAAAGGAAATCAAAAAAATCCTACAATTTATAGTACATTATATCTGCC